TGTTCAACAGAGCCTGAGGATTCATGGAGATAAGAGAGACGTTCTACTACTCGGGGTTTCAGGCTCTCTCCCCTTGGGTCAGCAGAGACGAGTGTCACAAGGTCTGGGATGCGAGCTGCCTGCCGGCAAGGAAGTTCCTAGAAGCGTCCTAGACCTGTTCGCCTCGGCACACAATGCCAAGTGCAGGAACTACTGTTTCCTGCTGGGGCTGGGGAAATATTGCAAGCAGGGTGGGGCACGGTCATCTCCCCTCTGCAAAGAGGCCCTGCGACTCTGGCACTTGTGTGTCACGCATGATATCACGCCTCAGGCGGAATACCTCCCCGGGTGCAAAAACCTGCTAGCAGACACGCTGAGCAGATCCTTTGGAGCCCACGAATGGTCGCTCAAGGACGCTGTTTTGCGTCAGGTTTTCCACAGGTGGGGTTATCGCGTCCTAGACCTGTTCGCCTCGGCACACAATGCCAAGTGCAGGAACTACTGTTTCCTGCTGGGGCTGGGGAAATATTCCCTGGGGGATGCCCTGACGGCTGTGTGGCCAGAGGGCTTTCTCTATGCTTTCCCCCCATTCCTCCTAATTTCCAGGGTGTTGACCAGAGCGAGGACATTTCGGTCCACAATCATTCTCATAGCCCCCAGGTGGCCCAGGCAATTCTGGTTCCCTATCCTAGTGGACATGCTTACCCAAGACCCAATAGCACTCCCTCCAGTCAGGGACCTGCTAACTCAGCCGTGGGGCAAGGGGACCACAGTTCACCCGGATCTCAGGTCTCTCCACCTAACGGCGTGGTTTATCCGTGGTTGAACCAACCTGAAAGGGAATGGTCCCAAGAGGTTCAAATGGTCCTCCTCAGTAGCAGGAAACCCTCTACTAGATGGTAGTACGCTGCCAAGTAGCAGTGCTTCTCGTCTTGGGCATCCCGGAGAGGAGTACATCCGCCCTCGGCTCCTATTCCGGCTGTGGGGCAAGGGGACCACAGTTCACCCGGATCTCAGGTCTCTCCACCTAACGGCGTGGTTTATCCGTGGTTGAACCAACCTGAAAGGGAATGGTCCCAAGAGGTTCAAATGGTCCTCCTCAGTAGCAGGAAACCCTCTACTAGATGGTAGTACGCTGCCAAGTAGCAGTGCTTCTCGTCTTGGGCATCCCGGAGAGGAGTACATCCGCCCTCGGCTCCTATTCCGGCTATCCTTGACTATCTTCCAGCTTCGGTCTAGTGGCCTGTCCTTTTCCTCTATCAAAATCCATGTGGCATCTCTCTCTGCCTTCCATACTGGTACGGCAGGAGTTTCCCTCTTTTCTAACCCGGTGGTTAAAAGGTTTCTTACTGGTTTAGAAAAACAGGCTTATGTTACCCCCCTTTGAACCACTGGCCACGTGTTCACTGAAGCACCTCTTGAAGGTTGCTTTCATCGTGGCCATTACATCGGCTCGAAGGGTTTCAGAGTTAAGGGCGCTAACTGTCGACCTGCCCTACCTTGTTTTTTCACATAGCAACGTAAGGCTCCAGCCTCATCCAGCCTTCCTCCCAAAGGTGGTGTCACCGTTCCACCTGTCCCGGGAGATTTATCTCCCAGTTTTTTTCCCAAAACCTCACGCCTCCCCTAAGGAGCGGGTGCTTCACTCCCTGGATACTAAGCGGGTGCTGGCATTCTACATTGACAGAACCAAGCCGTTCCGCAAATCCCAACAATTGTTGCATTTGGGGAAAGGGTGAAAGGCTCGCCTATATCGACACAAAGGCTATCAAGATGGGTGGTGCAATGCATCACACAGTGTTATCAACTGGCTGGTAAAATCCCACCCAGGGTGAAGGCACACTCTACCAGGGCGCAGGCATCCTCGGTAGCTTTTGGTGCTCAGGTACCAATCACGGAAATTTGCAGGGCGGCCACATGGTCTTCCCTTCACATGTTTACAGTGCACTATGCGCTAGCACAGCAGGTCAGGGAGGATGCAGGGGTGGGCTCTGCAGTCCTCGAATCTGTAATGAAAATATGTAAATATGTCCTGTTGTCATTTTTGTTAATATGTGCCTTATCCGTGTTGGATTGTTCGAATAAATCCGTTTATTGTTCACCTCTCTTCATGACTCTGGTGGTATGACTGCTCCGACCCCTCCTCCGTGGGGTTAGCTTGGTAGTCACCTACTTCGAATGGACATGAGCAACCACTCGAAGAAGAAAAGAATTGTTACTTACCTGTAACTGTTGTTCTTCGAGATGTGTTGCTCATGTCCATTCGACTCCCACCCTACCTCCCCTTCATCGGAGAATCCGGCAAGAAGGAACTGAGGTGGGGCAGCGCCGGCAGGGGGACTTATGGCCCGCCATGGCGGCACCACTCCAGGGGTTGCCCTGCCGGCGCTACGGGTACCGCTAGGGAAAACGCTCCAGAAGACGCGGTGCACGCGGTGCGCACACCTACTTCGAATGGACATGAGCAACACATCTCGAAGAACAACAGTTACAGGGTAAGTAACCATTCTTTTATTTACAGTTGGGGCAGCTCATGCCAGTGAGGCAACAAAATACATTTTGGAAACTCTTTTTAACTTAAATCTGTATACACTTGTCAGTCAAGGATAAACTGTGCTTCACAGCTCTCCCTGGTAGTGAAATACAGTGCCAGAAAGGGCGAGGAATGTAGTGCTGGATGAAGCACAAATCTTGGTCTAGCTAATAGTGCCTCCTGAATGTGCCTGGTTGCCATGGCAATTTACCATGCAGGACTCACTTTATAAGGGTGTTGCTGTGGTAACCGCTGTTTGGTTACAGCAGGATTGTAGCAGGTAAGGCCAGGCTGGAGGGGGCTTGTAAAGGGCAGGGATGGGACCTGAGCCCGGTGCCTTCCTGACCTCAGCACCCATGGGTCAGGCCCCGTGCTTGAAGAGCCAACTGTGGTAGCAGCTCCAGCTGTCTGGTCTGCTTGTTGCTGCTTCCTTATAAACAAGGTAAGTTTTAATGGCTATTACATGGGGTGGGGTGGATGTAAATATTTTGAGAATTGGGCCACAACTTCAAAGAAAAAATAGTTGCCAGCTTCCACTGCTTACTGCAAAAGATGTTTTCCTCCCGTGGCCAGACCTGTGTATTCATGAGGAAGGTCCCATGTTGAAACCTTACTGGTAAACATGGCATCTGGAGGCATGCAGCCAAGCAACATTACAGGAGCAGAAAGGCTATTAAAATAGGCAGCAATGATCTTTTGTTCTAGGCCAGGGGGCTCAGACTCATGGCTCGGGGGCCATCTATGGCCTGAGCAGTTCCACAATCCAGCCCATGGCACGTGAGTCTCTGTAGCCCTGGGAAGGGGGTTCGTACCCTTCCTCCAAGTCCAGCCCCTGCTCCACCTCTTACAACCACTGCTCTGCTCTCCTCCACTTGCCTCCCTTCCCTCAAGTCCCCTCTGCCAAGGGACATGGCCTTGAGAATTAACCTACCACAGCAGGGAAGCAGAGCAACGCAACAGCCTCTGTTCTGCTCCACCACCATCTCCCAGGCTACCCGTGGTTGCTCCACTTCACCCCGGTGATGGGAAGCAGAGCAGGCTGACTTGGAAGATGGTGCAGAGCAGGCTGCTGTGTACCTTTGCTTCCCCATGGCTCCCGCTGCTGTGGTGAGTGCAGGGGCACCTGAGGGTCTATCCCTGCTGCTGGTCCCAGCACACCAAGGGCCCCACTGCTAGCCTTAGTTTGGGGGACCACCCCTTTCATAGGACAGTTGGGTCAGCCACTTCAGGGCCTCCCAAATCACAGGGCCTGGAGCGGCTGAGCTGCCCTGACCTATGGAGGGGACTGCTCTGCACACACCTGTCTTGGGCCACAGCGACTTGCCAGCAGTGGCTTATAGCTAATAAGTGGAAGCTGCTCTAGCCCACCCCACGCAGAATTCCCAGAGGCAGCAGACAGGGCTGGGGAAGCAAAAGGGGGGGGGGCATGGGCCGGCAGGTGGGGCCAGGAGATGCATGGCGGGGAATGTGGGGCGACCCCCTCCTCCCCTGGAGACCTGCCAGAGAGGGGTACTTCTTGGCCCACTAGGAGAACTGGAGGACTGGCCCTGGCCCTAAGGTAAACTGCATGTGAGACTCCTGTCTTCAGTCAAACCTCATATACATTTTCATATGTTTTCATAACTAATGTGCCACTAGCTCAATGCCTAGAGCTTCTCTTATACTCGAGTGTTACATTAAATTTTGCCAAAGAGCAGTTCTACATTATTGAAAATAATCACCCACCAGCAGTCCATGCCATTTCTGACTCACTTTATACTGGAGATAATGAATAATAATAACAATAACAGTGCCTAGCTTTTATATCGCGCTTTGGAACTTTCTAATTTCATCTTGCTGCTGTACAGCACCATGAAGTGTGAAGTCATCAAAATGCAGTGGAACATGTGAAATAAAATGCTAAGAGGAAAACGTAGACTTTTATGAATAATATCCATAACTAATCTGACTATTGGATGTCTTATGAAATGGTGGAGAATAAATCATGAGTTAGATGTAAAAAGGACAGCAAATTCTGTAGTGTTGTTCAGGAAAATGGGTGGCAGTAAATCCAAATTCTCCACTGCAGCGTCTATAGAGCTGATAAATCTGATTGTCACGAAAAGATTTGTATGGAGTATTACAGTGTTTTCAGGGGAAAAGACAGTAGCAAGCTATTACTTTTTTATGAAATGATCCACTGTTGAGATTCATTACACTTTTGGAAAGTACAATGATAGTTTTATCAATCCCATGACAGTTGGGGGCAAAGGTTAGGAAAATGATATCTTAGTGTGAAACCTTGTCCAAAGTCCAGAATCTTTTGGGGTGCCCACCCTACTAATTCTGTCTACTATCAGTATTGAAAGCCAAAATCTCAGATTGTGATTTAATGCCACAAATTTGAGGTGCATCTCTGTTAACTGCTGACAGTTTATGGTGGGGAATTGTAGCATATGTAAAATCTGCCACTCGGTGTATTGAATCAATTTTGTTTTTTCTTTGTCAGATTGAAAATAGTCCACAAGAATTTGCACTTTATATCATCCATGCATCAGGAGGTAAATAAGCCAAACTATGTTGCTCCACTCCTCCAAAAGGCTTTGGAGGCTACTTATATTGCTGACAAAGAAGTCTTGCCAGTGCTCTCTCAATTGGGGATTAGGTTAGCCTAAAAGTATTTGTGAAAACCTTGTAGTCTCTCAGTGGAAAATTGAGTTTAATTTATTCATCATATACTTTGTATATATAATGGGTGCATCTAGACTGGCAAGATTTTGTGCAAAAGCATCTGCTTTTGCGCAAAAACTTGCCAGTTGTCTACACTGGCCGCTTGAATTTGTGCAAGAGCACTGACATTCTAATGTAAGAATTCAGTGCTTCTTGTGCAAATACTTTGACGCTTCCGCTCAGGGATAAGCCCTCTTGCTCAAGAGCTCTTCCAGAAGAGGCCAGTGTAGACAGGCAACATGAATTTCTTGCCCAAGAAAGCCCGATGGTTAAAATGGCCATCAGAGCTTTTTTCTGCAAAAGCGCGTCTATACTGGGCACGGATGCTTTTGCGCAAAAGCACTTTTTGCGCAAAAGCATCCGTGCCAATCTAGACGCTCTTTTGCGGAAATACTTTTAACGGAAAAACTTTTCCGTTAAAAGTATTTCTGCAAAATCATGCCAGTCTAGACACAGACCATGTGTATCAAGTTAACTTTGTTATTTTAGAAAAAGCAATAATATGCTTAAAAGCCTAACTTGAGATGAACATTCTGTCCTAATTTATAGTTAAGTTTGTTTAAGGACATTCTATTTGAAACCTATAAGCTACGTCTACATTGCCCAGTCTTGCACAAGAACATATGCAACTATGGCCTAGTTTGGGTAATGTAGACATAGCCATAGTGTATTGCTCTCAGAAGGTGGTAAAATACATATATAAGGAAGCATTAGCCAATATTTCCTTGAAATGGTGAGGGTCTATATATAGGTCTACAATTTATAGTCCAGTTTATATATTGGGCCTGTAGCAGAGCATTTATCGGATCTTTGCAAAACACCCTGCTTCCTTTATTCCATTAGAAAATATACATTTCATATGTTAAAAATGAACATTCAAAATGCTGAGGTAGACTCTGAACAGAGGGGAATATATTAGTCATTCATGTAAAAACGTGAAAGATAAAAGAACGGTTTGCAGAATTATTCACAGGGATTGTATTAAAGAAGAACTAAGGCTAACATTTCCAAACCAGTGGGCCTCAAATTAAACTCCTAAATCCATATTACATCACCCAAAGAACAGCTTTTGGTTCATTTTCTGCCAGTTTATATTGTTAGTATATCTGGTGTTAGTACTCTTCTTCTCTAATTGCTAACTAATGGTTCTTATCTGCTTCTTTTAACTATTCAGTCTTTAGGTGCTTATAGACTATCAGTTTTGCCTGTTACATACTAGTTCAGCTTTCCCTTTGATATTTATATACCCACTGCCTCTTCCTCCCACCACCCTCTTCCCTATTTATTTTGGTTCCTTAACATCCAACACTCCGGTCATCTGAAGAAGTGGGCTGTGCCCACGAAAGCTCATGATACCATCTACATGTTTTCTATTTGTTGTTTTTTACATTTATCCTATAGGGTATGTCTACACTACTGCCCTAGTTCTAACTAGGGGGGTAATGTAGTCATTCGGACTTGCAAATGAAGCCTGGGATTTGAATTTCCCGGGCTTCATTTGCATGATGCCGGCCGGCGCCATTTTTAAATGCCGGCTAGTTCGGACTGCATGCCGCGCGGCTACACGCGGCACGGACTAGCTAGTTCAGATTAGGCTTCCTATTCCGAACTAGCTGTACACCTAATTCCACGAGGCGTACAGCTAGTTTGAAATAGGAAGCCTAATCCAAACTAGCTAGTCCGTGCCACGTGTAGCCGCGCGGCATGCAGTCCGAACTAGCCGGCATTTAAAAATGGCGCCGGCCGGCATCATGCAAATGAAGCCCGGGAAATTCAAATCCCGGGCTTCATTTGCAACTTCGAATGCCTACATTACCCCCCTAGTTCGAACTAGGGTGGTAGTGTAGACATACCCATACAGACTAACTCAGCTACCCCTCTGAAGTTTATATTGAGATGCCTAAAAATAAGTTTAGGGCCCTAATTTGGTTGCCTCGTTTGGAAATTTTGGCCTTAGGAGCATATACTCCCATCTATCTGCATGTGGCACTCACATGTATGTTAATGACTATTATGTATGTTAAATAAAATGTATGTCCTAAGTATGAAACAACTGTGCCTATGCAAAGAATTGACCACACTGTTTCTATTAGGTATTAGTTACTGCTGCTCTAGGTTGTGCCACAAAATGAGCATGCTTGTCCATTCATTTGTTTTCATTCCTAGAAAAGAAAAGGCTCAAGAACACGGACACTCCGCTGCTGGAGAGACTCTTACAGGGTCCCTCAGAACAGATTGCGCAATTTTTTCTCATGGACAAGAATTCAGAAGAAGTTACTAGTGACGTATGTACATCATCATCCTGCCTATTTCCCAACATTCTTCCCATTAACACACCTCCCTGATGGGCATATCTTGTGATCCCCACGATAGGTTGCTCAGTACCTTAAATTTCACGTTCCTCTCTTGGAATCCATTCTGCAAAAACTAAATGAGGAAGAAGGTCGGGAGATTGAACAGACAATTGCAAAGTAAGTAGGAATAAACAATGTAGGTTTGACTCATTTGTTTATATTCTGAGTAAATACACTGCATACAAAGTCATTGGTAGGTTCTACAAAGTAGCACCTATATATAGTGTATGAACATAAGAACAGCCATACTGGGTCAGACCAAAGGACCTTCCAGCCCAGTGTCCTGTCTGCTGACAGTGGCCAATATCTGGTGCCCCAAAAGGAATAAACAGCACAGATAATCATTAAGTGAACACCCCTACCATGGTGCTGTACTGTGTCTAGTCCTGCAGAGATGTACAAAAATGGGAAGAAGGCACAAGGAGCCTTCTCACCTCTTGTGCACACCTGCCAAGCAGCAGCCACAGTCTCACTGATTTACCATCCCAGCGTGCAAGACTTGTGGATGTCTTCCACTGACAGCTGCGCTGGGCACACTGGCCAACAGATCCTGCACATTGCACCCTTTGCATGCAGCTCCAATTTGAAACACACTGCCTCAGCGCTTCCAGAGATAGTCTTGATAAGTCAAGCAGAACGCATCCTGGGCTGCTGGGCTAGAGCACATCTGCATAGCACACTCCCCAACACCTTCACATACAGACCCCATGGGTTTAAATGGCTGTAAATGCCAGAACAAATTCCATAATATTTGTATAGCACTTAGCAAAGATTGTGGTAAAAATATTAGCCTGGCACTTAGGAGACTCTGCCACAATCTCAGTTCTCCAGTTGTAAAAAGAGGATCATAGTACTTTGCTTATGAGAATCAATGTACTAAAGATTGGGCAATGTTCAGAGACTCTAGTAACCCTAATGTGGAACTCTGAGATATGGAACTCTGAGCATCCCTCAGACTGCTCTTCTGCTAGCTGAGATGAACTTTCCTGATGCCAGCCAATGATATACCAGAGTAGCAGACACGTTAGCAATGCAGATCAATAGCTAAACTTATAGAGGGCTTGTCACTGAGGTCAACAGAGGAATTTAAAAGCTTCAGAGAGGTAGCCAAGTTAGTCTGTACAGGATACACTTAAAAAACAACAAATAGTCTGGTAGCACTTTAAAGACTAACAACACATGTAGATAGTATCATGAGCTTTCTTGGGCATAGCCCACTTCTTCAGATGACCAGAGTGTTGGATATCCAGAAGCAAAAATAAGGAGTTCAATACTCCGGTCATCTGAAAAAGTAGGCTGTGCCCACGAAAGCTCATGATACCATCTACATGTGTTGTTAGTCTTTAAAGTGCTACCAGACTATTTGCTGTTTTTTAAGAGGAATTTAAACCAGCCGATGATCAGGCCAAAATGAACAGGTTAGGGAATCCAGAAAAATTCAGAAGTTTTATAACAGCGAAGTTGCCAGTTTCCATCAGAAATTTTTTCTGATTAATAATTTTTGACTCCCCTCAAATATTTTATTTTAAATTTGGGCTGAATATCTGAATTTTGTTTTTAATTTTTTGTGCTCTCTCTCTCTCTTTTTCTCTCTTTTCTCTCTTTCGCTCAGATACAATAGGGAGAAGGATATAATACTCCAGCACCTTAACAGTAAAAGGTTAATAAAAACGGAGACTGCTGTATAACATCACACTCTGCTGCTGATCACACACTTCCTCTAAGCCATAGGAGACTTAATTTTCTATTCCTTATATCTTTGGAAATATTGAGAACGTGCCATAACTGTGATCTGTACAGCACATGGGCCTCTAAAGTTGAGTGGGGTTTGTTTCTGGTAACTTTTCAAATGGGACTGAAAACAAACTCTGTAGCATTCTGAATGGGAATTAAGAAGAGCTGATAAAACCCGTATTCTTCTCTAGCAGGGGCTCTGCCATTGTGACTACTTATGTAACTTGAAACTTCAGAAAGGAGAAAAGTCCATTAAAAGGGCACACCTTTGAAACTTGTCCATTTGCAACCCACAAGCCAGAGCATTGTGAATATAGAGATATATCGTAATCATCCAGATGGATTAAGAATCCTACAGAAAACTGAAAATAATGTCATAGGCTGTCTGCTTTAGAAGAATTGTTTAATTGAAGTCTGAGAGTGTTCATCAATCTGTCTAAGAGTTTATTAATCTGAGTCTGAGGATGTTCATTAAAGGATCTAGGGTCAGATTTACAAAGGTATTTAGGCACCTAAGCGGGTGATGTAGATAAATCTCTTTAAAAATTGATGGAATGTAGGTGCCCAATTCCCTTATCTTTGTAAATCAGACCTTTGCAGGTTTAGCTTGAATGATAAGATCTGAAAAAGACTCTTCCACTCATGCTTTTATTTTAATCAATTGACTAAAAATAAGGGATTAATTTTTCACCTGAAACTCCTTTTTAAGGAACTGTGTAATGAGTTCTCTCTAAACATTGTTATATTTGATCAATTTCATAAAGACTGCACGAGAGGTATTTTCTCTGGGATAAGAAATGGATTATTTCCCCTTTCCTTGTTCCTTCTTTTTGCTTAGAGGCTGACTTTTATTTTAATCAATTGACTAAAAATAAGGGATTAATTTTTCACCTGAAACTCCTTTTTAAGGAACTGTGTAATGAGTTCTCTCTAAACATTGTTATATTTGATCAATTTCATAAAGACTGCACGAGAGGTATTTTCTCTGGGATAAGAAATGGATTATTTCCCCTTTCCTTGTTCCTTCTTTTTGCTTAGAGGCTGAGGTAGTGAGTACTGCGGGGGCGGACTAGCATAATTCACCCATGTCCCTGAGGGCTCAGGCATTTTGTGGCCACAAAACAATCTGTGTCCGTTTCTTCTTTAATATCATTCGACTGGCTCCTGCACCTCAAGCATTTTGCTAAGGCCAAACGTGCCAGGCAGTAAACAAAGACCATATAATTCACAAGAGTAACTCGCTGCCCTCTCTTATCATGCTGTGTTTGCTTTCTTTCATATGGCTTCTGTAGCCTATGCTGAGTTGCCATTTACTTCTGGAGATTACAAACATTGGGGGGGTTCTATACCATAATGCAGAATATGCTCCTGTACAACACAGTAAAATAAATTAGATAAATATAAATAACCACTTTACTCTTGTCTGAGATACTGTAACTTGGATGGTGTATCAAAATTGAAATTCACCTGTGTTAACGGGAATGATTTGTTATCAGGAACTAGTTTATTTTAATGTACAACGTCTTGTAACCCTAACTATGTGTCTTTTATTAAGGTCTTATTTTTTGGCTAAAACCATTCAGCAGTCAAGAATACTTAGTTTTAAATATTGCAGATCTAGAACTGTCAATGCCTTAAGCCCATAAATGGATGTATACAGGTGCTGCTGCAGTATTTGAACGGAGACATATGGAAGTTTCATTGCCGAGCCTTAAAAATGGGAAATTTGAGCCAAAAGGTGTAGGCTTGTAAAGGTAGGCCACATTTCAATAAAGTCTGGACCAGCTTATGATTTTATGCCAAGACCAAATACATTAAATGATTGTGTTGTTTCCACCTAAAACCAAGCACAAGTCACAGTTTTAGTTGAGTTTCACATTGAGTTTTGAGTTCACTTAAAGATGTGGTATAATCTTTGGCACAGGTTAGATGGCACTACAACATACCGAGGTATTCTTATATTAATGTAACTAGAGTACAAGCCTACTGGCTGATTAGAAGTTACAAAACGCCTGTTTTAGCTGGACTGAACCATTGCTCTGTCTGAACAAATGTGAAGTACTAAATGGAACACAGCACTCACATGGTTATGGAAGTGAAAACTTAGGTGGTTTGCATAAATCCCTGTTGCCAAAAACTGCCTAATTCCACGCCACTGTACTTCTGGGTCCTCACACCTTCACACCAACAGCCTACACCTGCTTCCATTCAAGTCAATAGAAAATTGTCCTTGTTTTCAATGGGAGCATTATCAGGTATGTACACTCACCGTGATGACTTCAGTAGGCAACCCTTGCTTCCATTTAGTTTTGGAAGTCAGTGTGGGAAGGGAGCCGCAGGGAAAGAAAGAAAAATGATCTGATCTTATTTATAGTGGCTAAAGAATGTATTGTATTGTTTTTAATTTTAATACAAAAATGTATTTTTTGTAACTCTGATTTCCTTCCATGATTTGCAATATATCCAGTGCATTATATGTTTGAAAAATTTTGTAATGAGATTTATGTAGAATGGCCTATGGGATTCAGCCTAGTAACTGTTGAGTAGTTTATTTATGAATACAGAGTATGAAAATGTTGACTGATTAAAATATTAGTAACTCATCATCATCACATGTTCCCTCTCCTGTCATCCATTTCCAGACAAACAGAGGCTAGGGACACTATTCCTACCCATCCTGTCTGATAGCGAATGATGGACCTAACCTTCATGAATCTATCTAGCTCTTTTTTGAACCCTGTTAAAGTCCTAGTCTTCACCACATCCTTTGGCGAGGAGTTCCATAGATTGACTGTTCGCTGAATGAAGAAAAACTTCTTTTTGTTTGTTTTAAATCTGCTACCTATTAATTTCATTTGGTGACCCCATGTTCTTATATTGTGGGAATAAGTAAATAACTTGTTAATTCATTGACCTTGCTTAGATATAAAAGCACATCAATGTGCAGACCATATGGAAAATGGCTGGGAATATATCAGGACTGGTCCCTACATGCACACTGTTCTTAATTCAGCAAAGCACTTTTGATTTCGCTTGACTTTAAGTGAGTTCTTAAATCTATTGGCTTTAATTGTTTAACCAAATCAGGTTTGAATAGAGGGCAGTTTTGCATGTATATAAAAATTGCAAAATTGGCCCAATGGAATATAAGTGGCTAGATTTAAGGTACTTTAACTATAATAGGTATATTTTCAAATTAATTAATCCAATTCCAATGGATATATGATGAGAGTAAAAATTAGTCTTTACAAAGGATATGAGGGAGGAAAACAGGTTCACTTCCAGTTATCCTTATAACATTTAAAGTAATGCTTCTATTAAGGGGAAAATAAATGTATCCACATAGGCCTTGGTTACCCTCTCATTGTGCTTATTGTCCTACATGTCAAATTTATCTTCCATTTGGTGCTGCAAGATTATGGGCAGACACTATTGAAGCCCATGCTTTTATTTTTGAAACACTGATGTGTGAGAGAGGCTGTAGAAAAACAGCCCCTCACACTGACCCTAGTAAGTTACACTTGAGTTTATTGGGACAATGCATCACTCTCAGAAATCACAGGACCTAGTGTGATATTCCTGCTTGGTAATGAGCCTTTTAAAAAAAAGTTACTCTTATGTTTGTTTTATTTCTACTATATGAAAAACTCAATGTGTGAAATACAAAGGAAAAATAAAGGAGGTAAGTATTCTTTTTTGAAGAACCAGACATATGGAAAAGACTTTAAAATAAAAGAAAGCAGAAAAGAAGAAAATGTGGTGGTGATTCAGCAAAGAAGCAAAGCACATGCCTAATTTTAAGCATAACACCCCACTGGCTTTGTTGAGATTGAAAATCAAGTACATCCTTTAAGAGTAGTGTCGTGTGATGAACTTCCTTCTCTTTCCTTTGTCTGTATGCTGTGTATGTCAGTTGTAAGTTATTCGGGGCAAACACCTCCCCAGGTTTGTAGAGCATCTAACACACTGGGGCACTATAAAAATAACTATGAAGCCTGCCTGGTGTGAGCCTGGATAGATTTTCTGCAATGTCCTCTTGGCCTGAACTGTTAAAGGAACAAAGCTACCAGTTTGTAATGATACCAGCTATTTGCAAATGTGCCAGTGATGTTGTAAGAATTGTTTTAGAGATTGTCTGCTATGATGAATCACCTGGCCAGGACAAAGGAAGAGTTTATTCAAAGCTTTATTCATTATTGGGATGTAAGGCAGCAATGAGAGATGAACGTGAAAGCAAAATTGCCTTTGTTTCTTTGAATCAGAGGACTATGACAGTGACAACTAACAAGAAAGCAAGCAAATACAGTAAACAGGGCAGAGATGAATTTTATCGCCTTCCACCGGTGAGCTAGGAAAAATGAGAAAAATTAGTTATGTACAGTGGTAAGCAAGAACGTGACTTTTTATTTGGGGTAGAGATTAATCACTTTAAATGAGCCTAATTAAATCTGAACACCAAGGTTTCTCTCTGCAAACCATTGGGAAGACAGATTTTCTTTTAGGGACTTTATCTTTTGGTATTTGATGGCATCACATATCTTCTTGTGCACTGATATGAACCAACAGGGGTTCCAAGACTGCCCCTGTTGCAAGTTACAACAACCTCAGAGAGGTTTCCAGGGAGCCACTTCACCAGAGTGCTGCACGTTGTGTTCAGCATGTCCTTGCTCTGTCTTTATGCCAGCCATTAGCTCTACATCTGTTCAGGGTGCCCAGCAAGAGACTCTTCAGATGCCTCCCGGCAGCTTTACCGTTCCCCTTGCACTTTTGCAGCCTCGTGTACACTAGCACATTAAAGTTGTGAATCTGTACTGTACTTTGAACAAAATGCTATTAAAACACTTAGTTAACCTATTATAATTATTATTGTGCAATGACACAAAGGGGATTTAAAAGGGGTTAAGGAACTGGCCATTACACACTATAAATCAATGGACTCTACAGTTACACTAGCTAAGCTAAAAACTATAATGCCCTTCAGTTCTTTTGTTGCACAGAATAACTCTGGAATAAGAAAAAGCCCTAGCTCCACGATACAGGAGACTTTTCTACACACAGACGTACCAGTTTAATTTAAATCATTTTTCTACACCATTTAGTTAAAGTGATACAAAACCCTGGATGGACACTCTTCATTTTGGGTTTCAGTTGCATTCTTCAGCTTATTTCCCTGTCCATAATCATTTTTGAGCTAATTTGATGTAAGCCAGGTGTCCATCAATTTATCATCGCTTTTTGCAGCAGTTGAATGAAACTGATAATAAAAAGCATGCCTCTAGTTCAACTGATGCAATTGTGTCTAGACTGGGCTTAGAGTTCCGCAGGTGGCCAGATGCATTACAGAGCATTTTTGTCTTTCTTTGAGGTCACTGTAGGAGACTTGATAGCAGATTAATTATTAGGAATAGAGCCTCTCTTGGTGTGAATTGTCACAGCTCCACTGATTCAACAGAGCTATGGCAGTTTACAGCAGCTGAGATTCTGCTCCATAATCTTTTCCATCATGGCAGTTCTCAGGTTCCAAATCACATGTTATGGACACTTAGAATAGGCAGCCTATTAAATTCTGTTACTCCTTTATGTAATTCAGAGCATGTTCCCCGCTAAGATTACCTGAGATGTTTTATGCTGCCAATGTAGCCTGACTTGCTTCTATCAGTTTTGGGCCCTGAGGGTGAAAAAGACACAAACATTCATAGATCAGAGAATCCAGGATGAGATTGTATATTGGACAGATAATATATGCACACTAACTTCAGGAGCATTTCCTGTCATTTAAAAGCATACAGTTGTATTTGACCATATCCAGAAGTTTACATCTACAGAACACAAAGTTGCAGCATTATCTCTCAATGAAATTTCATACCATTCCTTTTTTCACTTGGATCAACTCTGAAACAAAAAGATCTCACTGTATTTACCAGTTCAAGTTGCTACTCTTAAACTGAGATTTCATTGAAAGACACTGAAATTGTTAGAAAAGTATTTACAGTGCAGTTGGACTCTGAAAAAGGACTGTAAAAATGGCCTTTCAGGCTCTACGGATCCGCATGGTGTGTGGATTTGGAGTCCACAATCTTTTCTATGTTGATAAAAATGAGCATTTACTGCCTTTTACTCCTTAGCATTGCTGAGCCAACTCCAGCTTTAGAAGAGAGAGTGGGATTTTACCATTGGCTTTTCACCCAGAACATTGGAAATGGGATTGGTAACTAAATTCCAACTCAGGAATATACAAAAAATGGGAGAGTACAAGAAAAAGATGCACAGAAATAAGGTGAGGAGAAGAGAGAAGCAAAAGGAGGTGGTTGTGTGATATCATTAAATGAATCTGAACCAGGGGAGGGGAACCTTTTTTGGGTCAGGGGCTGCTGACCCACAGAAAAATCATTTGTACTGCTCAAAAGTGAGAAAAAACAACAACCAATGTCACTGATGTGGCCCCCGATTGAGAAGCAGAAAGACACTCACATACCAGAGCCTAGTAGATTTTGTGGGCCCTGCTAGGTCCTGGGGTGGGGTCAAAAACAAGGGATTCAGTGTGGGGTGGGGGAGCTGCCTGGAAGCTGGCTTGTGGTGTGGTCTGAGTGGCAGGGAGGGTGCAGTAGCCTCAGGGGCCAGATGCAGGCAAGTCAGGGGCCAGAGCCAGCCCCTGGGCCATAAATTCTCTACCTCTGATCTAAACCAATATGGAAAAGAATGGGGAGACAGGGTGAGAAATGGAGCTAGGTGAAAGAAACTGAGAAATTCAATCACTTAATATTTTGGAAACAACTGCTTTCACCTAACTTTTAGGACTATTTTTCTACCTGTCTAAGAGCTGGGCTTTTGGAAAGAGAAATTAAATTAGAAATTACCACCCTGGAGAAACTGTTAGATTAGATTTGAGAACCTGTCTTCAGTCCTGCATCAGGAAAGTGTTCAACAGCCTTCAGACCCACTAAGCTAAAAATGCTGGGTCTGTTCTATAAGCTTCTGGATATGGTCAAAAGGTTAATACTTAGACGCAGGCAAATTTGCATTCTTTGGCATCTTGGAGTTCATATATTTAAGTGAAGGCAATCTGGTTTCTTCTTTAAAAACTTAAGTAGAGCCATTCTGACTAGCTGATTCATAGATTCATAGACTTTAAGGTCAGAAGGGACCATTATGATCATCTAGGATGACCCCCTGCACAATGCAGACCGCAGAATCTCACCCACCCATTGCTAGACTAATCCCCTCACCTATATCTCAGATATTGAAGTCCTTGAAACGATGGTTCAAAGACCCCAAGATGCAGAGAATCCTCCTGCAAGTGACCCATGCCCCATGCTACAGAGGAAGGCGAAAAACCTCCAGGGCCTCTGCCAATCTACCCTGGAGGAAAATTCCTTCCCGACCCTGCTTTCACTTTTGATTAAAGATATGTGAGAGAAAAAGTGAGCTACCTCTTCTCCAAAGCATGTCTCATGGTTTTCTGCTTTGCAGCACTTTTCTCTCATGGTAATAAAAGACTCAATAATGGTCTTCAGTTGTTCTTCTGTAATGGTGGGCTTATATTTGACGAGGTTGATGAGAAGTCTGAAAGGAGAACAAACCACAGTAATGACCACTTAGCCTGAAGATATAACACATGACTTACAAAACTCCTTATTTCAGAGTTAAATTGTCACTGCCTTTCTTTTGTGTCATTTCACTGGACTTAGTCACTACTACATGGAAGATCAGGCAAGGTAAGTAGAAATCTTTTCACCATACCTCAGTACAATGTAGTAACTTTTGGCTTTGAGAGTTGATTGGCCCTGAGCGTGTATTCAGTTGTGGAAATGTTTTTGTAGCCACCCGAAACTTTGGTGGCTCCAAGGAGAAGAAGCCTCTATCCACACACATAGCACTTCGGAGTTCTGCCTGCTTGGGTCAGGTGTATGACCTAATTTGGAGGAGACGGGAAGACCAGCAACTTGACTGACATGCCAGACCAACTAGCTGCAGGCACCAAAAGCTGTGCATTTGGTTGACATTGTCCCCATGCAGACACAGCTCTCAGGGGAAGAAAGTTAGTTGCCAGGGTGCCTGTTTCCAGCAATGGGAAGAGATACGGTTCCTCACTTGCTGTCAGGGGGAAGAAAAGATGGCATGCTAAGAACCTAGGTCTCCTTAGTTCTAAGGTGTATCACTGAAGAGGAAGAAACTTGTGGGTTCTACCACTTTTGAGGACCAGCTTCATTGCCTGCTCTACTGCTGATTTTCTGCGTGACCTGGATGTGTACAATTTGAAGTTGCATTTCAGGTTCTGAAGACGAGAGAGGAGGTGGCTTCAGAGCCTAAATTCCAGGCTTCCAACTGTCTGTACCACTATGTTTAGAGCATTCATGCTAGCCCACCTGGGCAGCTTGCTCTAAACTTCTGTGTAGACATGCCATCAGTGGTTCAGTTCCCCCTGTATGGAAGGGAAATAATATTGTGCCACCTCACAGGTGTCTTGGGCTAAAGACCTCAGAGATTTTGAGGTATTGCGATACTAAATTACAGGGCCATATAAGTACCATAAACTGCTCTATTTACAAAGCTGATTGTTTTAATGTCCATAAATGCCCATTTTAGGAACTTGTGTGCAGATTTAGGGTCCAGATAAGAGTATTTAGAGTCCTAAAATTTCAAAACTGATAATATTCATCATTTGGTTTTTGAGCTTGGGACAAGCGTTTGATTTTGAGAACCCCCTTCTAAAAAAAGCAGACCTCTTTCAGCTTCTATCTTGGACACCCCAAAATAAAATGATGATCAGCTTTGAAACGTCACACCTGAAGGATATTTTCAGCTGCACTTATGTGACTTAGGAGCACGCGTCCCACTGATATCCTAGCTGTCTAAATACCAACGTAGACACCTAATTTAAAAGTGAGTTGCTTATGATGGAAGGCAGACTAGGACACAAAGAGCAAACAAGAAACTGAAACAGGATGAAGAGGTGGCAATATGGGGAACTGGTGAAGTAAATATTTCTGGAAAAAGGAGTTTTTAACAAGGGTTGTGAAGGAAGAAGAAGAAGCAGGAGGAGCAAGAGAAAGCTGGGTAGACACGAAGAGGGTGAATTAGCAGGATAGTGGTAGAGAAGCTGAGGCAAACAGAATAAACAGGCATATCTTACTTCTGCTTGCTTCTCTGTAGCGCCGCCTCTTCAGTGGCACACAAATCTTCATGGAAGGCGAACAGATCAGGAGTCAATGGCACGGGCACATACTTCTCATCAATTCCCAATGCACCAATGCATGGCCTTCTGAGAGCATAGGAGCTACTGCAGCATTTACAGACATTAGAATTTATAGGACTGGCATAGTGTCTCCTACATATTTGTCCAAGAATAAGATCAAGCTGTAGAGAGAGAGAGAATTGATTTTTTACATTGGCATGTTAAAAAAAAGTAATGGGCACATGCTATCCTTGATAAACTCACCAGGGTTTCAAACTTACAAACACCATTAAAATCTTCAGCAAATTTCTTAAAAGAAAGTACCAGCCCCAAATTTCTATTGAAAGCTGAGTGCCATCAACACAAAATGGGGCCAGATTTTCAAACAGCAACCTCCGTGCATATGTAATGTTATGCATTGTCATCTGAGCACACAGGTTATAGAATTTACACGTGCATATGATTTGTTTGAACCACTATGGATTTGTGGGTGTAACACTTGCAAAAAACAAAAGCAAAAAAAACCAACCCTGCACGCTAATCTATGGCCCTTTTAATTATTTGGCCCATGAGATTGATGTATCAGAGAGGGAAGAATGATATAAAAAGTTAATCATCCCAAGGGAGCAAAGTCTTAGCCAGGTCATATATGCTCAGAGCCTGGTTCTGCCCCCAAGCTATGCAGGAGACACATTCTGCTAACCAGAATGAGAACAGGGTCAGAATTTCATTACATAAACTAATGCCCTGATTCAGCAAAGGATATGCCTAACTGTAGCCTGACAGTTTTGTTTGCAAAACTATAGCCTGGATCCTCAGCAGGTGTGAATCAGTATAAATCAAATGACTTCAATGGTAATATGCCTGTTTACACCACCTCAACATCTGGCCCTATACCTCAAGGCCAAGTCAGTGACCAATCATTCCTTTTGCTACCACATGGGGCTTCTGAGTTAGAAATTCGCTGTAGGCTGTAGGGATAGAGAATAAGACAGAGAATATCTTATTGCCCCTCTATAAATCCATGGTATGCCCACATCTTGAATACTGCATGCAGATGTGGTCGCCTCATCTCAAAAAAAGGTATCTTGGCATTGGAAAAAGTTCAGAAAAGGGCAACAAAAATGATTAGGGGTTCAGAACAGCTGCCATATGAGGAGAGATTAATAAGACTGGTACTTTTCAGCTTAGAAAATAGGAGACTAAGGGGGGACATGATAGAGGTCTATAAGATCATGACTGGCATGGAAAAAGTGAATAAGAAAAAGTTATTTATTTATTCTCACAATATAAGAACTAGGGATCACCAAATGAAATTAATAGGGAGCAGGTTTAAAACAAACAAAAGGAAGTTTTTCTTCACACAACATAGTGAACGTGTGAAACTCCTTGCCAAAGGACATTGTGAAGACCAGGACTTTAACAAGGTTCCAAAAAAACCCTAGATACATTCATGGAGGTTAGGTCCCTCAATGGCTATTTGCCGGGATAGGCAGGAATGGTGTCACTAGCCTCTGTTTGTCCGAAGAGAAGCTGAGACTGTGTGACGGGAGCAATCACTTGATGATTAGCTGTTATGTTCACTCCTTCTGGGGCACCTGGCATTGGCCATTGTTGGATGACGGGATACTGGGCTAGTCGGACTTTTGGTCTGACCCAGTATGGCTGGTCTTGTGTTCCTCTGGATAGCTGGAGGTTGGGAATGTTGAGGTGACAGCACAATCTCCAGGAAAAGTGGGACTGAGACAAGGAAAGAAATATACTCACATGTCCCTCTGCACAAGGAAATACTTTGTCTTCACTGAGCTGGCAGCACTTGCCCCCAAGGGCTGCCATTTGCTTTGTGAACTGGAGCAGCTCTTCAGGTAACAGCTGAGGCATCCTCTTGGTGTACAGGACAAGGAGCCTGAAAAAACAATCTTCCAGTTACAGCTGGTCCAGCAGGCTAGCAATTAATGAGCCAAATCCTCAGCTGCTGTAAATCAGAGCATCTAGCCTGATGTTTATGATCATTAGCAAGTGTGGCAAGACAAACAATAATTATGAAGTCAAAGGTTAACAGGTTGATGGTCAAGCCAGGTTTACTGGGACATTTCTCCTGTTCCCAAGGCCTGTTTTGATTTGAGAGGGGCCAGACTCAGAGGCTCCCATTTTTTTCTCTCGAAATAGCGCTATTTTGAAATAGAGCCATAACGTGATTATGCAAATGAAGCATGGGATATTTAAATCCCTGCTTCATTTGCAATTTCGGGTGTCTGCATTTGCATTCCTCTCTCAAGAGAGGAATGAAGTGTAGACATTCTGCCTATGTCTACACTGGCGGGTTGTTGTACCAGAAGTATGCAAATGAGGCTAAGCGTGGAATATTGTCGAGCCTCATTTGCATACCTAATGAACCGCCATTTTTGCGGAAGATGCTCTTGCGCTAGAAGGAGCTGTCTACACTGCCCCTTCTTGCACAAGAAAAACCCTCTTGAGCAATGCTGCTACGCTGATGATTTTCAGGAATAACGGCATTGCGCAAGAGGGTTTTTCTTGCGCAAGAAGGGGCAGTGTAGACAGCTCCTTCTAGCGCAAGAGCATCTTCCGCAAAAATGGCGGTTCATTAGGTATGCAAATGAGGCTCGACAATATTCCACGCTTAGCCTCATTTGCATACTTCTGGTACAACAACCCGCCAGTGTAGACATAGGCAGAATGTCTACACTTCATTCCTCTCTTGAGAGAGGAATGCAAATGCAGACACCCGAAATTGCAAATGAAGCAGGGATTTAAATATCCCATGCTTCATTTGCATAATCACGTTATGGCTCTATTTCAAAATAGCGCTATTTCGAGAGAAAAAAATGGGAGCCTCTGAGTCTGGCCCCTCTCAAATCAATAAGGGTTATTTTGAGGAAAGAGTTTTATCTCGAGATAACCCCGTTTTTTCTCTCGAAATAGTGCTATTTTGAAATAGCACCATAGTGCAATTATGCAAATGAAGTGCGGGATATTTAAATCCCCACTTCATATGCAATTTCAGGTGTCTGCATTTGCATTCCTCTCAAGAGAGAGAGGAATGAAGTGTAGTCATACCCTCTCAGTGCAGCACATTCTGTACATCTCTTCAGAGAAGAAGGGCCTGATTCAGCAAGGTGCCTAGCACTAAGCACGTGAGTAATATGATTGACTTCAGTTGGAGAACTCCCCTGCTTACATTTTCCTCTGCTTGAGAACCTTGATGGACTAGGGCCCAAACCAGCAACAGCGTAAGCTTGTCCATGCTCCCTGCATCCTAATGTTCATCAACCCTGACACGGTGGGATAAGGCCATTGTTCTGGCTATTCAAGCTTTGGTCCCTTTGCTACACAATTAGTGGGGCATATTTGCCGTATACATGGGGGCTACATCTACACTGGCATGATCTTGTGCAAAAACTCTTCCAGAAGAGAGCGTCTACACTGGCATGTGCTTTTGCGCAAGAGCAGCCATGCCAGTGTAGATGCTCTCTTGTGCAAGAAAGCTCTGATGGCCATTTTAACCATCGGGTTTTCTTGCGCAAGAAATTCATGTTGCCTGTCTACACTGGCCTCTTCTGGAAGAACTCTTGCATAAGAGGGCTTATTCCTGAGAGGGAGCATCATAGTTCTTGCGCAAGAAGCCCTGATTTTATACAGTAGAACATCAGTTTACTTGCACGAGAACTCGCGGCTAGTGTAGATAGGCAGCAAGTTTTTGCGCAAGAGTGGCCGCTTTGGTGCCAGTGTAGACACAGCCAGAGAGAGAGAGAGAGACCAGGAGCCTGTGAGAAAGGGCAAAGCAATTTACTTTGAGCCAGATTATGGCTTTTAAGTCAGAGCTCAGGGCTCAGATTTCAGCCAGAATGTAATTGCACATGGTAGCAATTAGGAAACTTAACCTGTATTATAGACAGGAGACCAAGCAGTTTAACAATGTATTAACACCATACTTCATTAGTTGAAATATGGACATATTCCCCTTGACAAATCCTCAAGTTGTTTACACCAGACCTTTGGCCAGCGTAAATCAGCTTAGCTCTTTGGAAATCAATTGCTGCTCACTGACTTGAACCAGCAGAGTATATGGTCCCCTGTTATTTAACATGGGTTGGATGCTCATTAGGAAACAAACAAACAAAAAACGCATACTGATTTTGGAGAAGGTACTCTCCCAATTCCTTGTAGCGGTTACAATTTGCCTTTAGCAATTCCTGGGTTTCCTGAAGTTGTTTTTTGAGGATTTCTTCCTGAAAAACAGTGTAATATATTGTTAAAGACATTAGCGTCCAATGCAGAATATTATCGTACCACAATACAGCTTTCATTAGCCACAGCTTCCTGGTATCTGACATATACTCATATCTCTGCTGCTTGCATTAGAATTTCCATCCACTCTCTGAAACTTCAACTAGCTGAGCATAACCAGTGCATAGCCCATAACCTCCCTACCTCTCTGAAACAACTGATTTTATGAGTGTACAGGGCCACATCCCGATGGGTCATGGGAACCCAAACTGCCACAAGGGGAGCTCCTGGTCGTGCTGACCGATGTTGGGACAACCCAGTGAGTGCACAGAGGTTGCATTAGGGATGTTGAGAGATTTGTTGGTTGGAGCCTGCCAAAGCCTGAAAAATCTCAGGGATTTCACGGAACTGAGATCTCCCTTCCTTGGCAGCTCCCTCTTTCTGCCCCTGTGAAGATCACAGATAGAGCAGCCCACGAGGAGCCATCCACAGGGAGGCGCAAGGAAGGGGGAGAGGAATTAATGGTGTAGGACTCAAGAGTGCACCCCCCGCAAACAAGCAGAGAGGCCTCTGTAGTTGTCCTCCTCTACTTCCTGTTTTCCAAGAGAGGGGGACTTCACCTAAAAGGGCAGGAGTCCCCTCCCAGCTACCTGCTCCTGGTTGAATAGCTAGCTCACTCTAGCCTTGGGGGAGCAGAAGAGGGCTTCTAGTTTCTCCAGCTGCCAATGAGTATGCAGATCCTGCCCTGAATCGGATGTCCATTCCCCCACAAACCACACATCGTTCAAATAATGGAAGGCAAATAATTGCCTTCCCGCATACTGGAGAGCGGAAAGCCTCATCACAGCTCTCCTCCTCCTCTAGGAAGCCAAAAGGTGTCACTGCAATGCAGGAGAGTAGAAATGCTTCCACCTCATGCCTCAATCCGCATCAGACCAGGAGAGTTTG